TGAACTACAGAAATAGCCAGTAAATGAATTCTTTAAAGTCGTATTTTCAGTTGGCTACCAGAGATAATCCTATGAACTTCACTGCTGGTTTAGTTCAAAATTGTAGCAGGAGACATTGTCAAGTTGCTCAATATCACCTAAATTGTGCTCCTCCTGAATTTGATACAGTGTAAGAGTAAACTTGTTCTAACTCTGAGGAACTTGTATTTTTCCCTACTCACCTGAGAGTTATATACATTATTACAATCCCCTCTCACACAGCTTTCCATATTTTTAACCCTCAACTTTGACTACTCCACTTTGTTATGTTAGCAAATGTATGAGTGTTGGAAAAGAAGTACAGAGTGATCAAAAAATTAAAATAAAAAATAAAAAAAATAGTTTAGGGTAACAAAAGAGCATATTAAAGAAGGACCCCAGGGATTTTTTAAAAATTAAATAAAAGTAACATAGCATTTTACCTATAAAAATCACTCAAAATAAATATATTTTGATCCTTACAAGATGGGGACTCAGAATCAATGACCAACTCAAAAAGCCCAAACAGCTAGTGCAAAGCCAGAAGTACCAACAAACAAGCCTAACAAAGAGGTAGAAAAAGACTTAAAATACCTTTCAAAGACTGCTATCCAGTTCTGTGAATACAGTATTAGACTGTTTGCTGGAAATGATACTTAGGTGGAACAAATAAATGCTAATAACTGATAGCCAGATTAGCTGACCTAAAGAAGTCAAGCTTTATGCATGCTTAAAAAAAAAAGCCACCATATACAGGAGTAATGATCCCTAACTACATAGCACTAAAAGTCAACTTGACATTTAATAAGTATGGGCACATTAGCTGGGTGTGGTGGCATGCCTGGAGTCCCAGCTACTGGGGAGGGTGAGGCAGAAGGATCGTTGAACCACAGAGTTCAAGGTTGCAGTGAGATATGATGGTGCCATTGTACTCCAGCCTGGGTGACAGAGCAAGGCCCCATCTCAAAAAAAAAAAATAAATGTGTGGACACAAAGGCAAACTACGGACTGGGAGAAAATACTTGCAAATCATATATCTAATAATGAGTTAAATTCCCAAATATATAAAATACTCCAAAATATATAAGTTAAATTCCAAAATATATAAGGTAACTCCATAGCAAAAAAATAAAATCAAAATTAAAAAATAGGCAATGAGTCCTGAATAGACATTTCTCCAAAGGAGAAATATAAATGATCAACAGGGATATGAAAAGGCGCTCAACATGACTAATCAGGGGAATGCAAATCAAAACCATAAGGAGCTATCACCTCACACATGTCAGGATGGCTCTTACCAAGACAAAAGACAATAAATGCTGGGGGGATGTGGAGAAAAGGGAACCCTGGTACATGTCAGTGGAAAAGTAAAATGGTACAATCACTATGGAAAATCGTATGAAGGTTCCTCAAAAAAATTAAAAATAGAACTGGCATATGATCCAGCAATCCTGCTTCTTGGTATTTACCCAAACAAATTGAAAACAGAATTTCAAGGAGACTTCTGCACTCCTATGTTCACTGTAGCACTGTTCATAATAGCCAAGATATGGAGACAATCTAAATGTCTGATAGGTGAATATATTTTTACATGTGTGTATGTGCAGCGGAATATTATTCAGCCTTAAAAAAGCAGGAAATCCTGCCATTTGTGATAACATGGGTAGATCTGAAGGACATTATGCTGGGTGAAATAAGCCAGTCACAGAAAGATAAATACTGTATAATCCGGCCAGGCACGGTGGCTCACGCCTGTAATCCTAGCACTCTGGGAGGCCAAGGCGGGAGGATAGCTTGAGCTCAGGAGTTCGAGACCAACCTGAGCAACAGCAAGACCCATCTCTACTAAAAATAAAAACAAATTAATTGGCAAACTAAAAATATATAGAAAAAATTAGCCAGGCATGATGGCACATGCCTGTTGTCTCAGCTACTCAGGAGGCTGAGGAAGAAAGATTGCTTGAGCCCAGGAGTTTGAGGTTGCTGTGAGCTAGGCTGACGCCACAGCACTCTAGCCCAGGCAACAGAGTGAGACTCTGTCTCAAAAATAAACAAACTGGCCGGGTGTGGTGGCTCACGCCTGTAATCCTAGCACTCTGGGAGGCCCAGGCGGGCGGATTGCTCGAGGTCAGGAGTTCGAAACCAGCCTGAGCAAGAGCAAGACCCCGTCTCTACTATAAATATAAAGAAATTAATTGGCCAACTACTATACATAGAAAAAATTAGCCGGGCATGGTGGTGCATGCCTTTAGTCCCAGCTACTTGGGAGGCTGAGGCAGGAGGATCACTTGAGCCCAGGAGTTTGAGGTTGCTGTGAGCTACGCTGATGCCACGGCACTCACTCTAGCGTGGCAACAAAGTGAGACTCTGTCTCAAAAAAAAAAAAAACTAACTAACTAAAATAAAGATATAAGCCTTAACACTGGAAAAAAAAATCATTCCAGTAGCCCACAGAACGTATCCTATACTTATTCCCCTATTCTACAGATACACCTCTTGTCAAAAAGGCAAACCATAGGAAAAGCTCTTTGGTGCTCTGACTTTCTAAAGCAAATGAAATCTCTCTAAACACAATGAATGAAATAATCTAAAAACATAGAGGAAAGAGGGAAAAATCAGCATCAAGCATAGTTAAGTGAAGAACATAGCACAAAAACAGAAAAAGGGGAAACTCTTCAATTACCTATCTTACGAAGATAAATACACTTCTTCCCACAAAAATAAGAGTATTCTAAAGCAACAATATGGGTAACCCCATTTTCCATCAAATAAGACTTTACAGACACTAACAAATGTCTATTACAGACCCCACAGACAAAGACCATGCCTTTAAGTACAACAGAAAGGATGAAACAGGAGTGCTAAGTTTCTATAAAACCAACTGGAGAGGAAGAGTTAACCAGACTCAAATCAATCCACTTCAGAAATATACAGCAAAGAAATATACAACCTGCTTCATAAATATATAATCCATAAACTTAGTAAATTCAGAATTATAACATCTTCTAAAGGTCTAATCACTATATAAGATGTCTCTAAAATCTATCAGGAAAAGCAATCAGATAACTATCAGTTACTAAAACCATAAATCTTTTTAAAACTGAAAAACATTTCAAAGTAAGTCATCAGTAGCCTGTTATTTATTGTCTTTAAAACATTTAAGGGTCCTTAAAACAAAGTTTCATTAGTATCCTTCTAGAAAGAGCTCTAGTATCTTTTATTCTTCTAGCAATTTAAAAGCTACTAAATGTTCATTTCTGCATTAGCTTATTGATTCCTTGCCTTTCAACATCTCCATAACAGCTGCTTGACAAATTACCTCACCTTATTCCTCTGGGGGTAAGGACAGTGTGCTAGCCATGAATTCAAAAATGGGACCATAAACTGATCATTGATACATGAGCTAATTGCTTCAGATGAGTTAGACACTGCTCTAATAGAGTAGGCATTCATAGCATGACACAATTAAATGCTTACACTCTAAATATTTTATTTGTCCTTAAGTGTAGAGGACAGATCTTTTTCTTAAATTTGCTTTTATTCTAAAATATATGATAGCATCAGTAAGTCAAGAAGCTTGTACATGCTTGGAATAGTTTGTACAAAAGGCCTAGACTTCAGAATACTTATACCAAATAGTTTGGCTCAACTTTCAGATTTAGAGGTCTGTAAGCCCCCCAAATAGTCTATTAAATAGGACAGTTCTGAACACAACCTCCAGATTTTTAGCATATAAAAGACAAAAAATTTTCAAAGACATAATACATATATTTCAGCGTAATAAAGTTTTTCTGTTGTATTTGCCTAGATCCATTTTGATTTGTGTCAAAACAGTACGAAACACAGAGAAAGCACACACAAACCGCAATCTTGTAGACCCCTATAGAACTTAAAATACTGCTTTCTCTCCCATAAAAACAAAACGGTGTAAATTTAAAGGAGCATTTTAAATGAACAGCATTTTTTAGCCAAGTTACTTAGCAAGTTAACCTCTTTCTAGACAGAAGCAAACACTCTTCTCTGCATTCACAAGCAATCTCATAATAGCACAAATGTGTCAATTCCTTTAAAGCCATAAATACCTGCGCTAGCTTAGTTTTACCAAGTAGAAAATAGAATTTCAAGATCTTTCAACCACTTTTGTAAAAAAACTAATCACCGGCTTCTTCAAATGTCACATTTACAATTGTATGACACCAACAGTGTTAATTCGTCTTCTGTGATATTACCATAACAAAAACGGAATCATCCAAGAAACCACACAATTTTGAGACGTAAGTGTCAACTATCCAAAACATTCAACTTGTTTCTTTGAACATGTTCCTTTTGTGACCTGTAAGCTCTGGACCTTGCTAGAACCTTGGTTAGCGGGCTGGCCGGTTCTTCAGCTACAACATTATGTTTGATCTCTTCTGCCTAGAGAGGCGATAGCGTTGATTTTGTTTTTAAAGTTGGTGTCAGAGCAGCTACAAACTTTTTGCAGCATCCCTGCCTGACTGCCAACTGGAGCTCTCTGTTCACTTCCTCACGAACTTGAACCACCCCCAAACTGAGAGTAAGCCAGAGTTAGACAGCGGCAGGAACTGACACACTTTCAAGAAGGGTTTGACACCTCCGAAAACTTTCACTTCTCCAACCCTTCCACCCTGGGACCCTAGCTCTTGCTTCCCCTAGAATTCCCCTCTGAAACAGGACAAGGACACGGAAAGCAGATCGTTCGAATGCCCCCGAAAGGGACCCCAAATTCCTCTCCTCTGGACTCAAGTGCTGTTATTTACACAAAAGAGCCAGGCCAGAAAAGCAAAAGGGTTAGAATGGAAGCCCTTCAACGGAGTGCCACCCTCCACCGCACCCGCAGACCCTGTCTCCAGCCGCCCAAGCGGTCTCCACTAGAGGCTTCCTGCCCTCAACCCGGCCAGACAAAGCCCCAGCGGCCGGGCCGGCACTTCCAAGCCTCTGGACTCGGGCCGCCGCGCTCTTACCCGGGCCTCATCCAGAGCGACGCCGGTGCCACCGCTTCCCCCGGCCTTGGCGGCGGGGCAGCTGGCAGCGCGGGTCTTGGAGGAGCGGGTCCGAGAGGAGATGAAATGGCTGCTGCCTCCAGTCGCCCCAGGCTCAGCTCCGGCCCCAGGCCCAGGCCCGGGCCCAGGAGACTTGGACCCGAGAAGGCGCAGAGAGCTCTTCCGGGTGTTCACCATGGTCCAGCCAGGAGGACGGGGGCCACGCCGCGCCCGCCGCTCCCGGGAGAGCCGAGTAAGGCCGGCCCGCCGGCCGGGCAGTCAGGGCCAGGGGAGCCGAGCCCGGCGGAGAGAGACGAGCCGGCTCAGACTCCGCGGAGCGCAGACAGGGACAGCGGAGAGCAGGGCAGAGGAAGGGAAGTCGGCGCGAGAAGGCAGGCAGCGAGAGGCGGGAGCAATACTGCAAGCTGACAGCACAGACCCTCCGCCGGCTTCGCCCTCCTCAGCGGGAGCCGAGCGGAGCCGCCATTTCTACCCCTTTCTCTCTCGTTCTCGCTCTCGCTCCGTGCGTCAGGGTTCCAGCGCCGCAGGGCCGACGAGACCGCTTCCAGCCGCGGCCGCGGCGGGGCGCTGCAGGGCCGACAAGCCCTCCCCTTCCCGGCTTCTCCCTCCTCCCCCACGGCCTCCAGTGGCCCCGCCCCGGGCGCGGCGTCAGCGCTTGGCGGCCAGGGGAGTGACGCTCTGGGCTGTGTCAGCTCTATGGTTTCTCGGTTGCCCAACCGGTTAGGCTGGAGAGATGGGAAAAACCAGACCCGGAACTGGACGAGTTCGGGCGTGGGACTTGGTTCTGGGGCCCTGACTCCCAGCCGGGCTGGAATACCGCAGACACCCCCAGCATCACCCCAGTTGGCCTGGAAGTAGCGAGCCCGCCGGCAAAGGCGCGGCGGGGACTGGGAAGGCTGTTGAGGGCGCGGTGAGCTGAGTCGAATACCCAAGGCGAGGCACTGAAGTTGAGTCGCACTTTGCATAGCTGTAAAAAGGAGAATGACAAGTGTGATAAAATAGATCTGTGCAGTGTCTGGAACACAGTAAGCTTAAGAAAAAAAGAAAAAGCCAGCTAGAACCCTACGTCTTTAAACAAAGCGAGCCAGGGTCGTTTCCTATGGCTTTAGCCAGATGTAAGGCGGAGTCACAATGAATTCCTTCAGAGTCTAGTTTATCACGGTCCCTTCCCCTTCAGCCCCACCCACCACCACCACCACCCCCGCGGAAAAATTAAGAATGCAAAACGCTGAACTCCAAGATTTAAAATTTGTAATTTAACTCCAAAAGAAAAAAATTAAGCTACACAATATATGAAAGGCTCCGCTGTTAAGCAAAAATTATGTTCTTTTTAAAAATTCACCGTACATTAAAGATAGCCTATTTATTGGGCAGAAGTTCTCCCTGTTTATTAAACTAAGAAATATTGAAAACTCTAGACAAGCCCTATAAAAATCAACTGGCATCAAAATTAGAGTATTCTAACCATCCAAACTCATCATTCAAGAAAACTTCCTATAACGCTGGTAATAAGAACAGTTTCTCTATTTCAGAAGCATTATGGGTTCCAGAGAAGGAAACAAATCCTTCTTACACTAATTTGCATACCACACCCAACCCTTGACATTCACCACTTACTGCTGCTTCGTAATGGGTGTGGATACCTCATCAAGGAACAAGACCTGGATTTTCCTGGGTCACTTAGCTATGACATCATTGAACGGAATAACCACTTTCATTTCCTGCAGAAAGAGGCTAATGTTAAATAGTCTATGAAGTGTCCAGGGAAGGTGTGTGGTATGCAAATTAGCATATAAAGGATTTGTGCGTGCCTTCCTCGTTTGTTTCTGTAGTCCTAAATTGTGAAGGCCAGGTTACCAATTGGGTTACCGTATCCCATACCATTTACTATCAATAAATGTTTACCTAAGTCCAACTGGTGTTAGGCACTCTGCCAGCCCAGGGAATAGATAGATGTTTAAAAAAAAAAGATAGTTCTGGCCCTCAAAGAGCTCACAGCCTGGGAGGCAATGAAAAACATAGGCAAGAAACCAGTAAGCTGCAATTGCAAGGTGATAAGAAAGAAAGAGGCAGATCACTCAAGGTCAGGAGTTTGAAACCAGCCTGAGCAAGAGCGAGACCCCCATCTCTACTAAAAAATAGAAAAAATTAACTGCCCAACTAAAAATAGAGAAAAAAATTAGGCGGGCATGGTGGCGCATGCCTATAGTCCCAGCTACTCGGGAGGCTGAAGGTAAAAGGATTGCTTGAGCCCAGGAGTTTGAGGTTGCTGTAAGCTAGGCTGACGCCCTGGGACGCTAGCCTGGGCAACAGAGTGAGACTCTGTCTCAAAGAAAAGGAAAAAGAAAAACATAATAAAGGAGAAAAGCCATCTCAGTAGATTCAGAAAAAGCATTTGACAAATTCAGCATTTATGATTTTTAAAATCTCCATAAAGTAGGACTAGAAGGTAACTTATAAAGAGCACCTAAGAAAACGCCTATAGGCCGGGCGCGGTGGCTCACGCCTGTAATCCTAGCACTCTGGGAGGCCGAGGCGGGCGGATTGCTCAAGGTCAGGAGTTCAAAACCAGCCTGAGCGACTCTACTATAAAAATAGAAAGAAATTAATTGGCCAACTAATATATATATATAAAAAAATTAGCCGGGCATGGTGGCTCATGCCTGTAGTCCCAGCTACCTGGGAGGCTGAGGCAGGAGGATCGCTTGAGCCCAGGAGTTTGAGGTTGCTGTGAGCTAGGCTGACGCCACGGCACTCACTCTAGCCTAGGCAAGAAAGCGAGACTCTGTCTCAAAAAAAACAAAAAAAACAAAAAACGCCTATAGCTAACATCATAATAAATGATGAAAGCCAAATTCTTTCCCCCTAATTTCAGGAACAAGGCAAGGATGTCTGCTCTAATCATTTCTATTCAACATTATTCTGAACTCCTAGGTAGTATAGGAAAATAAATAGGAAGGAAAAATAACTAAAAGTTATAGTTTGGAGAAGAAGGAACTGTCTTTATTAGCAAACAACATGATAGTCTTAGAGAAAATCTTAACTCTAAGGGGGGACAAAACTAGAACCAATTTATTTCTATATAATAGCAACAAACAAGAGGACATTGATTGAAATCCACAGTGATAAATTTAATGAAATATATGGAAAACCTATACACTGATAAAAAAAAAATATTGCCGAGATGCTCTTCTAAGAGGAAAAAGCAAAACAAGAGAAAGTTAAGATTTTTATTTTTAAAAAATAGATTAAGGTCCGGCGCAGTGGCTCACGCCTGTAATACTAGCACTCTGGGAGGCCAAGGTGGGTGGATTGCTTGAGGTCAGGAGTTCAAAACCAGCCTGAGCAAGAACGAGACCCCATCTCTACTATAAATAGAAATTAATTGGCCAACTAATATTGTGGATGGAAAAAATCCAAGCCCTGAAATATTTGAAAGAAGTTTATTCTGAGCCAAATTTGAGGACCATGACCCAGAGCCACTCTCAAGAAGCCTTGAGCAAATGGGCTCACTGTGGCTGAGTTACAGTTCAGTTTTATACATTTTCAGAGAGACAAGGGTTACAGGCAAAGTCACAACTCAGTACATGAGAGGCATACATTGGTTTGGCCCAAAAAGGTGAGACATCTCGAAGAGGGGGCTTACAGGTTATTGGCTGAGAGAGTTAGACTTTATCCAGAAGACCAGAAAGGACATGCTTATTTTAAGATAAGGTTGTGGGCTCTGGGAAGTCCAGACAGGAGGACATTTTAAATTTACAATAGGCGCCTGCTAGGATGTTTTAAGATGCTTTAAATTTAAGAATAGGCATCTGCTAGGATGCTTGAGTTAAGACATTTTAAATTTATGATAGGCATCTGCTAGGATGCTTGAGTTAAGACATTTTAAATTTATGATAGGCATCTGCTAGGATGCTTGAATTAAGACTGGGGCTTCTTATCTTTTAGGCGATGTTAATGCCATACCAGAATCAGGTCGGGAAGTAAGCCACTGCTTCATTTGGTTAACAAAAGCCGCTTAGTGGGAATTTACCTTTTGTCAGCCTGACCCAGCTGGCCTCCTTAGGAAGGAGTTTTTAGCAAAAGAAAAAAATCAGAGTTCAGTCCTCAATATACATAGAAAAAATTAGCCAGGCATGGTGGCACATGCCTGTAGTCCCAGCTACTTGAGAGGCTGAGACAGCAGGATGGCTTGAGCCCTGGAGTTTGAGGTTGCTGTGAACTAGGCAGATGCCGCGGCACTCACTCTAGCCTGGGCAACAAAGTGAGGCTGTGTCTCAAAAAAAAAAAAAATAGATTAAGAAAATGATTTAAGAAATTAAAAAAATATATTGCCGAGAAAAAAGAAGGAACACCTAAATAAGCAGAGAGATGACCAGATAACTTAATACTATTAGATGAAAAGTATTCTGAAATTGACCAGTAGATTCAGGCCAATCCCAGCCAAAATCCCAACAGACATTTTGTAGAGATTAAGAAACTAAATTTTAGCCAAGCGTGGTGGTTTACGCCTGTAATCCGAGCACTCTGGGAGGCTGAGGCAGGCGGATGTTTGAGCTCAGGAATTCTAGACCATCCTGAGAAAGAGTGAGACCCTGTCTCTACAAAAATAGAAAACATTAGCCGGGCATGGTGGCACGTGCCTGTAGTCCCAGCTACTCAGGAGGCTGAGGCAGAAGGATTGCTTAAGCCCAGGAGTTAGAGGTTGCTGTGAACTAGGCTGACGCCAGGGCACTCTAGCCAGGGCAACAAAGTGAGACTCTTGTCTCAAAAAAAAAAGAAACTGAATCTTGGCCAGGCATGGTGGCTCACGCTTGTAATCCTAGCACTCCGGGAGGCCGAGGCAGGAGGATTGCTTGAGCTCAGGAGTTTGAGACCAGCATAAGCAAGAGTGAGACCCCGTCTCTACTATAAACAGAAAGAAATTAGCCAAACAACTAAAAATAGAAAAAATTAGCCGACATGGCCGTGAGTGCCTGTAGTCCCAGCTACTCAGGTGGCTGAGGGAGGGAGATTGCCTGAGAGTTTGACCCCTATTGTGTACTTGTGCAATAGCTACTTTGTAAAGAACTCTGGAAAATATCTAATAAATATATAATTCAGTCTACACCCTTAAGAAATTTAAAATCCTGTTTGAGTCTTTAGACTTGTAACTGAAAAACCAACAGAGAAAGGAATTAGAAAAAGGGCAAACTTAAACACAAAGCTAGCAGAAGGAAGGAAATAAAGATGAGAGTGAAAATAAAATAGAGAATAGAAAAGCATCCCCTTAATATTTTGGGGAAAAAGAAAGAAATAACAAAAATTCTGAACAGATCTATAACAAGAGATACAATCAATATTCAAACCCCTCCAACAAAGAAAAGCCCCAGACCAGATGACTTTACTGATTCATTTAAAGAAGAATTAACACCAATTCTTAAAATCTTCTGAAAAGTAGAAGAGGGAGAAACATTTTCTAACTCATTCTATAAGGCTAACATTACCTTGATCCCAAAGCCAACCAAAAACATCCCAAGAAAACTATAGGACAATGTCCCTTGTGAATATAAATGCAAAAATCCTCAACAACATACTAACAAACTAAATCCACCAGCATAATGAAAGGATTATATATCATGACCAAGTGGGATTTATCCCAATACCATTTATTGGGGAAAGGACAGTCTCTTTAGCAAATGGTGCTGGGAAAACTGGAAACTCATATGCAAAAGGATAAAGTTGGACCCTTATCTTACACTATATACAAAAACAAATCAAAATGGATCAAATACCTAAATGTCAGAGCAAAGACTATAAAATGCTTAGAAGAAAACACAGGGGGAGGGCCGGGCGAGGTGGCTCATGCCTAGCACTCTGGGATGCAGAGGCCAGTGGATCACTCAAGGTCAGGAGTTTGAAACCAGCCTGGGCAAGAGCAAGACCCCATCTCTACTAAAAATAGAAAGAAATTAATTGGCCAACTAATATATATAGAGAAAAAATTAGCCAGGCATGGTGGCACTTGCCTGTAGTCCCAGCCACTCGGGAGGCTGAGGCAGAAGGATCGCTTGAGCCCAGGAGTTTGAGGTTGCTGTGAACTAGGCAGATGCCGCGGCACTCACTCTAGCCTGGGCAACAAAGTGAGACTCTGTCTCAAAAAAAGAAAACACAGGGGGAGTTCTTCATGACATTGGGTTTGGCAATGGTTTCTTGAATATGACATCAAAAGTATAGCCAAAACAAATTGGATTGAAATTTAAAACTTTTGACTGGACACAGTGGCTCACGCCTATAATCCCAACAGTTTGGGAGGCTGAGATGGGAGGATCACTTGAGGCCAGGAGTCTGAGACCAATATGGATGACAGAGGGAGACCCTATCTCTGAATTAAAAACATTTGTTTAAATTTTTAATTGTTATGTATCAAAGGATACTATCAACAGAGTGAAAAGACAATCTACAGAATGAGAGAAAAGATTTGCAAATCACATATCTGGTAAAGGATTAATGTCCGTAATATATACAAAAAACTCCAAAACTCCTATAACTCAAGAACAAAAAATAAAACTATTTGAAAATTTACAAAGAACTTAAATAGACATTTCTCCAAAGAAGATATACAAATAGTTAATAGACATATGTAAAGATGCTCAACATCACTAGTCATTAGGGAATACAAATCAAAACCACAATGAGATACCACATAATACCAGTTAGGATGGCTAGTATAAATGCGAACATGCACACACGCACAGAGAAAATAACAAATGTTGGGAGAATGTGGAGAAATTGAAACCCTGCTACATTGTTGGTGGGAAGGTAAAGAGGTGCAGACATTTGGAAAACAGTTTGGATATTCCTCAAAAAGTTAAATGTAGAAATACCATATTCTACTTCCAAGTATATACTCAAAAGAATTGAAAGTAGGGACTCAATCAAATACTTGCACACCAATGTTCATAGCAGCAATATTCATGATAACCAGAAGGTGGAAGCAACTCAAATGGCCATCAAGAAATAAATAACAAAATGTAGTATGCACATACAATGGAATATTATTCAACCATAGTTAAGAAATGAAATACTAATTGATACATACTATTAATACAAAATAGATGAACCTTCAAAACAATTATGCTGAGTGAAATAAGCAAGACACAAAAGGACAAATATTGTAGGATTCCAATTATTTGAGGCTACTAGAATAGGCAAATTCATAATAAAAGCAGAATAGAGGTTGCCAGGGACTGAAGGGAGGGAGGGCAGGGGAGTTATTGTTTAATAGGTACAGACTTTCTGTTTGGGATGATAAAAGTTCTGTAAATAGATAATGCTGATGGCTGTGCAACTTTTTTTTTTTTTTGAGACAGAGTCTCACTCTGTTGTCCGGGCTAGAATGCGCGAGTTGGCATCAGCACTCACAGTCAATAGCAACCCCTCAACTCCTGGGCTGCCAACAATCCTCCTGGCTTCCAGCCCCTGACGTAGCGCGCACTACGAGAAGGCCACCATTGTCCAGCTAATTTACGCTAAGAGTAGCCCGTATATATTATATATATATAAGCGCCTCATGAGAGCTATGAAGTATAGACCTTGTTTTCTCAGCTAATGATTTCCTTTTTTTCTTTTTTTCATTTGCAACATGCCGGAAACTAGTTTCTATGTGTTTTTAAATAGAGAGACGCCGCGCAGCGGTGCCACTTCTTGCTCAGGCTCTGTCTCCTGAATCCGCAGCGCAAGAAGATCTTCCCGTTCTTCGGCCCTCTCAATCTAGGAATTACGAGTGAGTGAGCCCACTGACACCGCTCAACTTGAACAACATTCGTGATGTAACTTAATGCCGGACTGAAATTGAGCACTCTTAACAAACATGGGTTAAAACAGGCTCTTTTTTGAGAGTGCTATAGAAAAAAAACTAAATAGCCAGCAACAAAGATTCATTTTTTAAAATTTTATATAACAAAAATCAGCCAGAACAGGAAGTACAGCGGCACAGGAAACTACACCTCAGCATTGATGAGGATTTGATATATGAGGTATCATTACAAATCTGTAAGAAAAATGTACTGTTCAATAAATGGCATTGGAACCACTGGCTTTATCTGTTAGATACTTTAACTATATAAACCCCGCTAACCGATCTAACACCCCAAGATGTCAATTTGGTCTTCTCATTCAAGCAAGGTCGAAACAGGCTATTCACAAGATCCATTCCACTCCAAATATAGCTGGGCAGGTTAAGATGGAAGGTTTAATATAATGTACTATGCTGCCTCCCTTCCGCAAGATCCTCGTCTAAAGAGATACTAGAGAACCAGGCCAGGTCACCGCTGTAAATCCTAGCACTCTGGAGGCCAAGCGGCAGCAGTTGCTGGAGGTCAGGAAGTCCTGAAACAGCCCGCGCGCGACCACCGAGACCGCCGCCTCTCCTAAAAATAGAAAGAAATTAATGTGGCGCACCATAAAACAAAAAAACTATATACGAAAAAATTACCCGGGCATGGTGCGTCATGCCCGTAGGTCCCAGCTACTTGGGAGGCTGAGGCAGAAGGATTGCTGAGCCCCGGAGATCTGAGGGTTGCTGTGAGCTAGGCTGATGCCATGGCACTCACTCTAGCCTGGGCAACAAAGCGAGACTCTGTCTCAAAAAAAAAGATCACTAGGAAACCAATAAATAGTATTTGCATTTTTACAGAATAATCAATCAATACATCACATTAATAGAATGAAGAGAAAAGATCACATGAGCATCTCAATTGAAACAAAAAAAGCATTTGACAAAATCCAACACCCTTTCATGATAAAAAACATTCAACAAGCAATGGTGCTATAGTACCTCTTGTATTATCCTGGATAGAGCTGGAACCCATTCTACTAAGTGAAATATCCCAAGAATGGAAAAAGAAGCACTACATGTACTCACCATCAAACTGGTATTAACAGATCAACACTTAAGTGTGCATATAGTAATAACATTCATCAGATGTCGGCAGATGGGAGAGAGGAGGAAGGGATGGGTATAAACACACTTAATGGGTGTGGTGTGCACCGTCTGGGAGATGGACGTGCTTGAAGCTCTGACTTGGGTGGGGCAAAGGCAATGTATGTAACCCTAACATTTGTACTCCCATAATATGCTGAAATAAAAAACTAAAATAAAATAAAACACTCAGCAAACTAGGAATAGATGGGAGTTTCCTCAACATGATAAAGAGCATTTATGAAAAACACACGAGTAATATTATACTCAATGGTGAAAAACTGAAAGCTTTTCCCCTAAAATTAGGAACAAGACAAGGAAGCCCACTTTCACCATTTCTATTCACCTTTGGCTGGAAGGTCTATGTAAAGCAAGTACGCAAGAAAAAGAAATAAAAGGCATGCAAATCAGAAAGAATTTAAAACTATATTAGCAGATGACATGATCTCATGTGTACAAAATCCTATAGAATCTATTTAAAAAGTGATTAGAACTCTCTGTATTTCTACTTGTTATGAGGACAAAAAAAAGAGAAAAAATGAAAAAGAATTAAATAATAATAATAAGTGATTAGAACTTATAAATGAACTCAGTAAAATTGTTGGATACAAGATCAACACACAAAAATCAGTGGTATTTCTAAATACTGGCAATAAAAAATCCAAAAAGGAAATTAAAGAAATTCAGTGCTTGACTGATCCCAAAACCATCCCCCCTGCCTGTCATCCATGGAAAAATTGTCTTCTATGAAATCGATCCCTGGTGCCAAAAATGTTGGGGACCACTGGTATAGCCTACTGCATACCTAGGCTATATGGTATACAGGTTACAAACCAGGACAGCATGTTACTATAACTGAATATTATAGGCAATTGTAACACAATAATTATTTGTGTATCTAAACATAGAAAAGTACAGTAAAAATAAGGTTTTATAATTTTATGGGACCATCATTGTATAAAATTAATATATGCTGTAAGTCATTGACCAAAATATCCTTATGTAGCATGTGACTCTAAATGGAAAGACATTGATGTTTATGAATTGGAAGACAATTTTGTTAAGATGTCAATATTCCTCAAATTGATCTACCAATTCAATAAATCCCTATCGAAATCCCAGTGGCTGCTTCTTCTTCTTCTTTTTTTTTTTTTTAGAGAGAGAGGTCTCATTCTGTAGCCCAGGCTCAAGTGCAGCAGCTCACAGCTCACAGCTCACAGCGGCCTCCAACTCCTGGCCTCAAGCAATCCTCTGGCCTCATCCTCTGGAGTAGCTGGGACTACAGGTATCAGTCACTTTGCCTGGCCCAATGGCTTTTTTTTCTTACAGAAATGAAAAAGCTGATCATAAAATTCATACAGAATTGCAAGGGACCCTGACTAGCCTAAACAATCTTGAAAAAGAGGAACAAAGTTGAAGGACTCACACTTCCTAATTTCAAAACCTACTACAAAGCTATAGTAGTCAAAACAGTATGGTACTGGCCTAATGATAGCCAAATAATCAATGGAATCGAATTGAGAGCACAGAAACAAAGCTATACATCAATGGTCAATTGATTTTCAACAAGAGAAAGAATCCTCTCTTCATCAAATAGTGGGAGGACAAAAAAACCAGAAGAGCTCTCACTGAAGGGTCAAAGAAAAGTCTCCTTGCCCAAAGGAATAAAAGTAACTCTTTACTATGCTTCAACAGACAAGATGTCAGGAGCCCTGATTTGAGAGTTGAACTTACCATGGCATCCCTGAATCAATGAACAGGAGACGAGTTTCAAAAGACTCACAAGTTGCTTTCTCCTTGGTAGGTATGGCAGGGGTCTGTAGGTGAAGCCCAAACTCACACTGAGTCCTGGCAGGCACTAAAAACTGTCAAGTAAAAAACAAATCTCAATTTAGGCAAATCAAGACTTTATTTGAAAGGATTATTGCAACAGGTGATAAAGGGAGGAGGACAATTGCAACAGGGAGGATGCTGGAGTATAAGATTAAAAAACAAATTTGGATTTAAGTAAGGAGACTTTAGTGGAAGAGATTATTCCAAGGAGAGAGAAAGAGACTATTGCAATGGACAGTTGAGCAGGGGAGACCACGGCAACAGGGAGAACTCTCCGACCATGAGATCTGCAACTATCTCCTAAGTCAGACTGAAAAGGGCTTTTCTTTTATAGGGAGGAGTGAATAAAAGCTAGAAAAACCTGGGTGTGGGGAAGCAGAGGAAAAAAGGTGGAGATGGCAGAAATCAGAGTGTCAAAGAATGTATTACAGAGGTCGGCCTGTTTTCCAGGGAGTGGTGGCAAGGAGGGGTGGTTTGCTGGTTCAGTCTGAGTGTGGGTCAAAGTTTAGAGGCCTGGGCCTGGGGCAATGTAATCTCAGCTACTGAGAGTGGGAGGGCTGAGAGGGTCCTGTTAGGGGATGGGCAACACAGTGGAAATGTATTCAAAAAACAAAATGAAAGTTTAGAGGTTTGGAGGAAAAATGCTTAGCTAAAGTTTGGTTAAATCAACGCAGGCAGTATTTCGTCCAGAATAGTCAGTGAGTGAGTACAAGCATTTCAGCTAATCATTCATGTGGCAACGAATTGGAATTTGGAGGGTTTCGCGTCTGACCTTGTTATAAACAAGGGAGCATCCGTATGTCGTGTCTAAATCCTATGGGGAAGGGTGACTCCAGGTAGTAGGCCCTTTCAGGAACACAAAAGGGTGGGGGAATGTCTTGAAGCGTCGCTGGCTTTCCAGGATCTCTGGGCTCAGGTAAAGTTCAACATTGTCAGAACGCAGAACAATCTCTCCACAAATTTACTCAGAGGCTGAAGCGCTTGGTTTTCAGGTGAGCCCACATCTAGCTCCTGGCATTTTCCGCGCCCAGTGGAGAGGCAACAGGCTGCGGCGCGGTCGTTAGGGAGTAGGAAGCCGCCATTAGTTCGGGTAACGCCGGGGTCTGAGGGAGCTGCGGCGGCAAGCCCCGCCCCTCTGCGCGCTCCCTCGCGGGCGCGCGCGCTCTCCAGGTCTGCGCGGAGCCGGCCTCGGCGCGCTGGGCGCCCGACGCCGGCGCCCAGCGGAGACCGAACAAGGCGGGCTGGGTACCAGCGGCGCGGCTGCGGAGCCTAGACGGCTCTAGGGGTGGCGGCGCTTGGAGTCTGAGGGGCTCTAGCCAAGCGGCTGCGGCTGTGCCCGCGGTCCCTGAGCGAAGTGAGGCCGAAGCCGCGAGGCCGCGAGGCCGCGCCCGGAGGTGAGTTTCCTGCGGCCGCGCCGCGTTCGCCCGGCTGAGGGACTGGGCGTCCGCTCGCCGCCGGGCTTGGGCCGGCGCTTCCCCGGCGGGGCCGAGGGCTCGTTGTCTCGGGCCGAGCTGTCACGGCCCGTCTGTGTCCGGTGAATCCCGGATCCGGAGGGTTTCGGACCGTGCGTCTGCGACCCGGGAAAGGGCGCTGGCGGCGGGGCTCCTGGCCAGCCTAGGTGAGCCGCAGGTCTTGGCTCCTGACTCGGCTCGCAGCTTTACTCGAGTACTCAGTGAAAGCACGTCGTTTGGTGATCCTCTCGGGCGTTCGGAAACTTGCACCTACCTGCTACCAAAATGTTTCCATTTCCAAGGACGAACGCTGCAAACGCACTATCTAGAAACACAAAGTGTGTCTGTTTTAGGTGGACATTTCGAAGTTGAGTTCTTCAGTGTCTCACAACATCCTTTGATGTTTTGAAGGTCTAATGTTCGCTGTTTTCATATTTCCTTTCTTTTTTGCGTCCTTTTTTCTTTTCACTCCCAGTAATAAAACCGTTTGCTTGTCAGCAGTGATGGACGTTAATGTGGTGTCCAGCGTTGGTTGCTTTGTACGTAATTTGAGGTAATTAAAAATAAAACAGAAAACTGCCGATTTGTGTTGATGTTAATGCAGAAAAGAACGATGTGGTACTATAAAATGTGACTGTAGTTTGGTTTTAGGGGGAAAATTTTAAAAGTTAATGATGTGTTTTCTCTAAATATTCTGAAAGTCGTATTTATTTAAAAGACAGTTAAATGCAATGAATATTGAGCATCTTTATATATAATACTAATGTTGATAATAGGCACTGGTGAAATCCAAAAATGAGTAAGAATTGTGTGCAGGAAGGAAAGAGTGGAGTGGTAAAGCACCCACTAATGATACAAGATAGAATACAGTACAGTCTTAACAGAGCTGCTACTCATTGAGCACTTATTCTCAGATGGGCGCTGTTAGGTATTTGCATACTTAATATACACTTTAATTATTTAATATTTTATCATTCAAACTTTTTTAGTACTTACTATGTCCTGCGTGCTAAGGATATGGTAACAATTAGATTATATGGTGTGATTGGGCAAAACACATTAAACAAATAATCACACAAATAAATGCCAGTAAACCAAGACAGACACTTAGAAGAAAGAATGTACAGTGTTTGGGAGAGAATGTAACATGGGGACTTATCCCAGCTAGGGAAATTAGGTAAGGTTTTTGTAGGAAGTCTTGGAGCTCTGAGACATTATGGGTAAGGAGGAATTAGGTGAAGTTGACTCCCAAAGGAGAGGAGAAAGGCCCAGGCAAAGACAATAGATTGCACGGAGGCTAGGGAAGATGGTCATTTCAGCAGTTGGAGTGTGGAAAACAAAAAGGAGCTGTGGTAAAGTAGGTTAGGGCCAGAGAGATAATGCGGTGTCTTTTAAGCAATGTCAAGGATTTGGAATCAGCTTTTTCTTTTTTAATCCTTTTTTCTTTTTTTGAGACCAAGTCTTGCTCTGTTGCCCCGGCTAGAGTGCCATGGATGTCATCAGCCTAGCTCACAGCAACCTCAAACACCTGACCTCAAGCCATCCTCCCACCTAGGCGTCTGAGAGTGCTAGGATTACAGGCAGGAGCCACCTTGCCTGGCCTTAATCTTTTTTTTTTTTAAACTCTTAAAACCCACTCAAATAGAGAGAACAGTACAATGAACTCTCCAGTAATAGTCCCCAAAGGATTTGTACTTTATTCTAAGAACAATGGGAAGTCATTGAAAGGTTTTTGTTTTTTTTTAATTTCAGCATATTCTGGGGGTACAAATGTTTAGGTACTAATGTTTACATATATTGCTTTTGCCCCACCTGAGTCAGAGCTTCAAGCATATCCATCCCCCCAATAGTGCACACTGCACCCATTAGGTGTGAACATACCCATCCCTACTCCCCCATGCCATTGAAAGGTTTTAAGAAGGGAAGTCCTGCCATCAGATTTGTATTTCAAAAAGGTTGTATGGCCGGCACAGGTGGCTCACGCCTATAATCCTAGCACTCTGGGAGGCCGAGGCGGGAGGATTGCGCGAGGTCAGGAGTTCAGTTCAAAACCAGCCTGAGTGAGACCCCAACCCCATCTCTACTAAAAATAGAAAGAAATTAATTGGCCAACTAATATATACAGATAAAAGATTAGCCGGGCATGGGGGCGCATGCCTGTAGTCCCAGCTACTCGGGGAGGCTGAGGCAGCAAGGATCCCTTGAGCCCAGGAGTTTGAGGTTCTTGTGAGTTAGGCTGACACCATGGCACTCACTCTAGCCTGGGCAACAAAGCAAGACTCTGTCTAAAAAAAAAAAAAAAAGGTTGTAACTGGCTCTATGAACAAATTTCAATGACCCTTATGTTTTTGTTTTTGTTTTTTTTTTTTGAGACAGAGTCTCACTTGTTGCCCAGGCTAGAGTGAGTGCCATGGCGTCAGCCTAGCTCACAGCAACCTCAAACTCCTGGGCTCAAGCGATCCTCCTGCCTCAGCCTCCCGAGTAGCTGGGACTACAGGCATGCGCCACCATGCCCGGCTAATTTTTTTCTATATATATTAGTTGGCCAATTAATTTCTTTCTATTTATAGTAGAGACGAGGTCTCGCTCTTGCTCAGGCTGGTTTCGAACTCCTGACCTTGAGCAATCCGCCCGTCTCGGCCTCCCAGAGAGCTAGGATTACAGGCGTGAGCCACCACGCCCGGCCAACCCTTATGTTTTTTTATAATCCTCTCCCTCTCATGTTTTAGATTCTCATGCCATTAGGGGTTGGTGACCAGAACCCTGGAACTTCAACTACTTGACCTTTTGAGTTGTTTCCCAGAAATGATAGAATTTCTGCAAGAGAAAGGTGTTGAGATTCTGAAGGCCCCTCCCGCAGACTTCCTAAGGCAATATTCCCCATCCCTCATAACATGCCCTGGTGCATGAAGCCCCTTGTTAAAAAGCCTTTACTCTCAGTTGGGAAGATGGATTTGACGCTGCTTCCCCATTCTCCTTACTTTTTCATGTTAAAAGTTCCTTTCTTCCTTGGCAATCCTTGTCCCAATAATTGGATTTCTGTGCAGCAAGTAACCAGACTTATGGTAGACTCATTTTGGGTTTGCTAACAAGGTCATCCTGACTGCTGTGTAGAAACTGGATTGGATAGGGATAAGAATGGATGTGAGGAAACCACCTGGAGGTGATGGTGGTTGGGACTGGAGTTGTCTCAGTGAAAATGAGGCAAATTTATGAATACCTAACTGATCTCCTCTCACATTAGTGATTCTGTATTCACATCTATTGGAGTAATCATGTAAAGTTTTCTTTTCTTTTCTTTTTTTCTTTTTTTTTTTCAAAACAGAGTCTCACTCTGTTTCCTGGACTAGAGTACTGTGGCTTCAGCCTAGCACACAGCAACCTCAGACTCCTGGGCTTAGGCGATCCTCCTGCCTCAGCCTCCCAAATAGCTGAGACTATAGGCATGTACCACCATGCCCGGCTAATTTTCTCTATATATTTTTAATTGTCCAGCTAATTTCTTTAGATTATTTTAGTAGAGACATGGTCTCGCTGTTGCTCAGGCTGCTCTCAAACTCCTGAGCTCAAAGCATCCACCTGCCTCGGCCTCCCAGAGTGCTAAGATTACAGGTGAGAGCCACTGCACCTGGCCTCATGGAAAGTTTTCTAAAGGAGATTGTATTTGAGATGGACTTTGCAAGGTAGGATAACGTTTCTGTATTACCCCTGGAATGAGAATGTCTTGATGTCAAAGGATGATTCAGTGGCCGGGCGTGGTGGCTCACGCCTGTAATCCTAGCACTCTGGGAGGCTGAGGCGGGCGGATTGCTTAAGGTCAGGAGTTCGAAACCCCGTCTCTACTATATATAAAAAAGAAATTAATTGGCCAACTAATATACATAGAAAAAATTAGCCGGGCATGGTGGTGCATGCCTTTAGTCCCAGCTACTCAGTAGGCTGAGGCAGGAGGATCGCTTGAGCCCAGGAGTTTGAGGTTGCTGTGAGCTACACTGACACCATGGCACTCAACTCTAGCCTGGGCAACAAAGTGAGACTCTGTCTCAAAAAAAAAAAAAAAAAGGATGATTCAGTGACCTTGCCAATCTGCATAAATTTCACCTTTTCCCTAATTTTCTCATTTAAATTACTGTTATCACTATCACTTTGGTTCTTGGACAAAAATAACTCTACCATTAACAATTTTTTTTATGAAAGGACAAAAATATATTTTCTTGATTACTGTGATTATAGCTAAGATAAGCCAAAACTTTCCAAAAGATTTCATTTTCTGGCCAGGCGAGGTGGAGTGGCTCACGCATGTAATCTTAGCACTCTGGGAGGCCGAGGCGGGCAGATTGCTCAAGGTCAGGAGTTCGAAACCAGCCTAACCAAGAGCAAGACCCTGTCTCTACTATAAATAGAAAGAAATTAATTGGCCAACTAATATATATATAGAAAAAATTAGCCGGGCATGGTGCCACATGCCTGTAGTCCCAGCACTTGGGAGGTCGAGGCAGAAGATGCTTGAGCCCCAGTTTGAGGTTGCTGTGAGCGTGGCTGATGCCATGGCACTCACTCTACGCCTGGGCAACAAAGCGGCTCTGCTCTCAAAAAAAAAAAAAAAAAAAAGTGAGACTCTGTCTCAAAAAAAACCAAACCAAATGGAAAAAAAAAAAAAAAAGATTTCATTTTCTATAACTTAGTATTTGGTAAACTGGAATTCATAAAATATGTAAATAAACTGTCTTTTAAAGTGTTTGCTTCCGCTGGTCATGGCAACTTATGCTTGTAATCATGGTACTTTGGGATGCTGAGGCAGAAGGATCACTTTAGGTCAGGAGTTGTAGACCATTCTGGGCAGTATAGCGAGACTCCATCTCTACAAAAAATTTTTCTTTTTTTTTTTTTTTTCTACAAAAAATTTTTAAAAACTAGCTGGGAATGCTGGTATGCGCCTGTAG